ATAGTGTTAACAAAAAAAAAAAAAGTGTGATCGCTTTTCCAGAGTGGACTGGTCTGACAAACATCAAACCCCAGACGACTTGAGACAAATGAGACTGGGAAAGTTGTCTAATCATTTCTGAAATGGTGTCTCGGTAATCTTTCCTTAAGACTTTGAAAAAATGGGAGATAATATTAATTATAAAAAATGTGTTTTGACATTGGCTACTGATTGTGGCGACATAATTAGATTTGTCCTGTGTGTCTAAGCTAATTATCCAATGATGATTCGAAAAAGAAAAGGGGAGGAGTCAATTAGGGGAAAAATGGGTTCGACTTTTAAAGGCTTGGCAAGAAATGTAATTTTTTCCCTTGCTTACTTTGACTTAGATCCTTCTGCGATGTTCAGCGCATCGAACAATAAGCTGTATCCCTGGAGATCGGTCCCTGTCAATACCTGCAGCCTCCTCTTCCCAGCTGGTATCCACTGCTCTGAGTTCCACCATGAAAGTGAGGCGCCAAGTTTTACGAGGATGTCCCTTTTTGCGCTTTCCTCGTATCAGCCTATATGTCATTGCAACTCTTTGGGTTGCGTGATTTATTCTGTCGGAGGTCATGTCCCGCAAACCTCATGCGATGCTCGGTCACAGCCTCATTAAGAGGTCGAGTGCCAGTTTGGCATAGGATTTGTGACCCGATCTCGAATACTGACTCCTACAATCCTTCTTGGCCACTTTTAATGAGCCTCATTACGAAAGGCAGAGTTACAGGATTTGTAAATTCACATATATAAATCTATGACTAAGATTACAGAGATTACTAATTTGACTGCGTCTCGTAGTACAATAAATTTATTGAAAAGTATAGTAATGTTAATGAAATACTTTAAATACAACGACTAGAATTAAACTATTGAATGCACACACAAAATAAAACCTGTCAGTTTTCAAAGCTGACGCGTCTCCCTTGACAGCGCCTACAGCCACAAACTGAGCTTGCATAGGTTCTCGCGATATAAACGACGGACTCTCTGAGGTCGTTGTGGTTGTGGTTGTTGTGGTTGTGGTGGTAGACGAGGAGACGGTGGTCACATTCACGCACTGGTCATCAACCACGACTGTGTCTTCAGATGCGCAGCACATGGTGTTCTTGTGGCCGCCACACTCTCGTCCTTCGAAGTTCTTGAACATGTTCCTACCCACGCCGCACACATCGCACCGCACACAGCTAGACCTGCAGGGAATGCCGGGCTCTTCCAGACGGTAGAATTCGTCTTCACACATAATTTTGGCATCTCTGGTTCGTGTGCATTGCTCTGCGATGATCTCATACTGTGAAGAAAATAACAAGCAGGTCTGAAAGTATTTACACACAAAAAATTAGAGGTTTAGACGGCACTCTGTAGGCCTTATAAGTTCAATAAAAAGTAAGTACCCCACTTTCAGACCTTGCGATCTCTAGGTCTATATGATTCTATGGCTGACAGTTAACAAGGGTGATATGTGGACAATACAACGACCAACCTTCTTTACTTTAACCAACTAATATCAGTTATCGCTTAAAAGTTGTGTTGTTTCAGGGGTGTTCAAAAAATCCCAAAATTTAAAATCACAGTCATTACCGAAATTTAAACCAGGGGCCCTCAGTTCTAAAGCAAATCACCTGACCACTCAGCCACCACATCTTATAATAAGGAAAAAATACTGAACTTTGCCCTTTTCATTGAACTCACTACAACGGTAAAATAAGATATAAAAAATATATATTATGATATATAAAATGAAATGTATTTATATCGAAAGAGTTCCAAAAATAGCTAACGACCGGACTCACATCTCAGACAAAGCCTTACAAAAGAATGGGCTCTACGAGGTGAAAAGTAACCACTAATCGCTCTACGACTAGGTCGGTCAACTAGAATGCTTAGATCTGCAGCGTACAAGACTAGATTACATTTCTATGTATTCGACCATTTCATCCATTAAAAAAATATAAATTTTAGATTTCCACATTTATTTTGCCAATTTTAAATTGTCAATATGTATATCCTTGAGATCAATGGAGATTCACCCATTCGTAATGAGTGAACAATGGTAGATCTCTTTAAACCAAAAAGTGCATTTTTCACTGATGCTTACCATTCCAGGTTCACTACATTTCAAGCACTTCTGGTGTGTTCGATCGTCTGCCATCTTTTTGGTCATGAAAGTGCCATGATCACAGGGAACACAGGTATTAGACACCAGATACTGGCCCTCCTCACATTTTGGATAGAAGCGGTCGGCCCCGAGCTTGGGCTCCGAGTGATCTGGAACTCTAGAAGGTATCCCCGGATCACACGTCGATTTGTAGCCATGGTCTGGCGAGCTAGAAGACGCTATGACAAGTTGAGAAACGAACAGAATTGCAAGATTCATACTTTCCATTCTCTGAAACAAATAATTAAAACGTGTTGAAGTGAGCTCTCTTGTTGATTATGCTCTTTGTACACTGACATTTTTGAATCGGACAAAGGTGCAAAGAAAAGATAACTCTACTAGGGAACGTTTACCCGTATAGAAGTTTATATAACTAAATGATGTGCAACACATACTATTCACTCAAAACATTTAAAGCTTTGAATTCCCACTAAATCCAAGGCTTGATGTAACATTTATAGAAAGAAAAGGGAAAAAGAAAGACAATTTGGGCATCGTTTTTTAATGTCTAGATCTACAGGCCTAGCATTGGAATAATATAAAGTGTAGTGCGCATCGTTTTTAAAGTCTAGATCTACAGGCCTAGCATTGGAATATTATAAAGTGTAGTGCGCATCGTTTTTAAAGTCTAGATCTACAGGCCTAGCATTGGAATATTATAAAGTGTAGTGCGCATCGTTTTTTAAAGTCTAGATCTACAGGCCTAGCATTGGAATAATATAAAGTGTAGTGCGCATCGTTTTTAAAGTCTAGATCTACAGGCCTAGCATTGGAATATTATAAAGTGTAGTGCGCATCGTTTTTAAAGTCTAGATCTACAGGCCTAGCATTGGAATATTATAAAGTGTAGTGCGCATCGTTTTTTAAAGTCTAGATCTACAGGCCTAGCATTGGAATAATATAAAGTGTAGTGCGCATCGTTTTTTAAAGTCTAGATCTACAGGCCTAGCATTGGAATAATATAAAGTGTAGTAGATTTATACATACGCTTAACCAGTATTCTATGTTGGAATATTTTTTTTTTGCGGGGAGGAGGAAGCTGTGAACAGGGATGGGGTAAAAAATTTTCCTTTTCTTTTTAACATTTATTAGTAATTAAGAGCAACTTCACAATGCGTGACACTTGATCTTGGAATCAAATCTTCTTGATCACCGCTATTTAGTTGACCTTTCGGTTTTGAATATCTAATTATTACATTAAAAGTCCTCACCGCTGTAATTTGTTTTTTATGCTACGAACATAATCTTTTGAAAATGTGATTCTGTAGTGCTTAAAAGTGTACAAAAATGAGAGTAAAATTTAAAAAAAAACATGGTTTAATAATTTCTTTATTCTGTAGACCGGATACGCCAAAAAAAGCTAGTTAGTCATTGGTTTTCCGCTATGTATAAAACTCTAATATCGTATATCGTAAGACTGTGGTTTTGTTGACATTGATTTGTAAGTTCCGGTTTTATATTTAAAAACAGCTTTTGAAACAATGAAATACGCAAGAAAGAAGAGAAAGTGAGGAGAAATGTAGCGGCGATTCAATGGAAAGAAAATGTAGGAAAAGAGAGAGAGTTAGAGAGAGAGAGAGAGAGAGAGAGAGTTAGGGAGAGAGAGAGTTGAGAGAGAGAGAGAGAGTTAGAGAGAGAGAGTTAGAGAGAGAGAGAGTTAGAGAGAGAGAGAGTTAGAGAGAGAGAGAGTTAGAGAGAGAGAGAGTTAGAGAGAGAGAGAGTTAGAGAGAGAGAGAGTTAGAGAGAGAGAGAGTTAGAGAGAGAGAGAGAGTTAGAGAGAGAGAGAGTTAGAGAGAGAGAGAGTTAGAGAGAGAGAGTTAGAGAGAGAGAGAGTTAGAGAGAGAGAGATTGTCAGTGGCACATAAGAAATCCCTAGTGAGCCAAGAAAGGAACCTGACACAGACGGAGAAGTTTTGACGGAAAAAGCGCGAGGCAGAGATAGAGAAAAAAAAAGAGAGAGAGAGAGCTTTTGAAATAAATGGACGAAATTGACAATGTCAAGGACGCTATATTAAAAGATGAATGTGGCTAACTTAAAACTGCCTACATAAATACACATTATTTAAATCTAGTGCTATAAATCGAAGAGCCTAGAGATTTGATTCTACGATGCACAAATGCTATTTATAGGCTTTTCAAAATACAAAGCCTAACCCTAAGCCTATCGTTATAGAAGCCAATAGAAGACCACAAAATTGGTGCGTCGCAGGTTAGTATCTGTGCTTTCTATAACAATTGGTCTCGACTCTATACACACGTTATTTAAAGATTTGCCTCAATTGACGAGAATCCCCCAAAGATATAAACATTCTACACAATCTCATAAAAGTACAATGAAATTAGGAAAAAATAAAGCTTACCGCCTCAGTCTACTGAATCCCACAAATGTTCTGATATTAAAATTTCCCCTTTCAGACCTTGCGATCTATGGGACAAATAATGTTATGGTCATCTGTTTCTTTGGCCAACGGTTAAAGCTTCTGATGGTGTCTAAATATTAGTGTTACCTGGCTTGTTCAGGCAATGCTCAAGAATCACGCAGGATAATTTCAACTGTTATACACATGATAGCAAGGCCACTGGCCATTCTTGACCAAAGCGTGAGTTATTGTGATGAACCAGACGATGTGTTTCAATCCAATGTTTGTTTACTATTGAACTGTTGACCCTAGCTAAACAGTATTGAGTTAAACCAGAAAGTAAACAGAGTATTGTAACATTAGTTTACATTAGTTTAAATTAATGTATTTAACACAGTGATCTTAAAATCAAATATGAAGATGTAATTAGCAGAAAAAGTAAACGAAAGCTTTTATAGAATATAAAACAAAATACAAAAATAATCAGCACAGAATCAACTGTGTGACCCCACGTAATGTTCTTGGCTTTACAAAAAAATCATTTCAAATGAAACAAGAATCGAGTTATCAAGTTTTTTCAAAGCTACATAAGGATATAGTTTAGTACCATACAACATTACATCTACATGTCGACTGTATGCAATACAATATTTGAAAAGATCAATACAGAAGTAGACCATGGAACCAAAAAAAAAGTTATCTGGAAAAAATAATGTTTCCAATGTTTCCAGATATGGCATGCCTTGACATGAGTCAGTGCTAGGACTCGATACGTGCTACACTCGGAGTATATCTAGTATATAATTATACATCGTAACAAAATAAATAATGTGCAATATTATGTGTCAACTTTTATCGCTTGAGGTTTCTCAAAGCATGCTCTACTAATGTCCTCAGGGTGCCAGAGATATAAGGCACACAGTAGCGTAGCAAAGTATATAGGGATCCGGGTTCAAGAATATGATGGTCCCATTGTTTGGGTGTAACAAAAAAACCAAATCAATTCACTGGTAACGTCAGTAACATTAACGACATTAAACGCAGGTGCTAGCTGCAACGTTATGGCCATTAGACAAGGTCCTCAGGGCTCGCACTGACCTTCCTTCAGAGAACAGTACCAGGAAAAAAGAAGAGGCAGAAAAAGAAAGCGATGGGAAGACAACATAAAAGAATGGACGGGCCTGTTATTGAAAAAGGTTGTATCAAAGACATTGAAAGAGGAATGGAGAAAGATGGTCGACAGATCATGTGTGGTGTCCGAGAGACTAAGGGACAGGCGAAGGGAAGGACTAACGTGTAAATTTTTATTGTTATTTTACATCCTATAAATTAGTTCCTTTAAACAAAGTAATACTTGATATAAACAATTAATACTTAATATAAACAATTAATACTTAATATAAACAATTAATACTTAATATAAACAATTAATACTTGATATGAATAATTAATACTTGATATAAACAATTAATACTTAATATAAACAATTAAAACTTAATATAAACAATTAATACTTACTATAAACAATTAATACTTAATATAAACAATTAATACTTAATATAAATCAGATACATTTAAATTCTTATAGTTATTGTTAATCTTTTTTTTATCAAAGGGTGCCCAAACGTCATGGGCCCGAGCGAAAAAAAACCCTTCGCAACATGGTAGCTACGACACTGGGTGCCTATTTCATTGATTATTTTATGACGATACATAGTCTTAGACTGACATAAGATGACTGTCCCGCAATATATAGTGTCAATGTCAAGGTTGTTTAAATAGTATAAACAATATGTTGACTTTCCAGAAACAACAGTAAATTTCCGATACTAAGGCTTGTGTTCTAGTCCGAGAAGGTTACCTGGCTATGCAGTACTTGCTGTGATCTACATATTTTGCCACATCCGGCGCAGGCATAAACCTTGTCTGTCGGTGGTCGACTTTCTGACACAAGGACCATTTCGCCAGGCTTAGCATAGATTCAATGCATTACATCAGTGATGCCCCAAAACTACGGTTCCGGGTATTATCCGGCCTTTGAGACCAAGCTATCCGGCCTCTTGAAAGTTCTGTCCACAGTGCCTAACAAGGCTGCAGAGACAGTTTCTTTTGACTCATCCATTTGGTGAGCTGATGCAGTCCGTGACCCGTGAATATGACCCGTGACCTATGACCCGCGGGCTAAAACATGTTTGTCATCACTGAACTGAAAAAAAAACACTATACCTTTGAAACTTTTATTTTTTTCTTTTAAAGAAAAGAGACGCGAGTCAGACAAATATCCAGAATCAAAACATCATAATTATGACTTGTAAATATAGCGACAGTACAGGAAAGACGTTGTTTTGTTATTTGATGTATAGCAGCGCTTTCAACGCCAATGACCAAACATATTATTATTGTAACCAAGTAATCGATGTTGAGACTTTTAGAGGCTTACAGTACATGGTCTTGCACTTTATCGCTCACATGGTGACACGTAGTTTCAAGAACAACAAGCTTATAACTCTTAAATTTAATACATTATTAAATAAATGATAACCGCAAGTTATCACACAGTGGCGGCATTGGGGGGGGGGGGGGCGAGTGGGGCAAACGCCATATGCTCCACGCCTTCGGGGTGTCCCGTGATAAAGAGAATCTTTTGCCATCGTTCAAATATTGGTGGCCCTGGTATGACACCGCGCCTCTGAACCTCATTTTAGCTCCAAATGTTTTTTTTTTACAAAATTATATTTGCATTTCATTTTATTGTGTGGTTAAAAATGGCTCACAAAGAAGACTTTTCTGCAGGGTACAAAACCAGGTAAAAGAAGGAGAGACAGACAGAAAATGTGTTGGAAGGAAAATATCAAAGAATGGACAGGTTTGTCTATGGAAAAGGCTCTAATACTGGAAAAAGAGAGAAATGGAGAGATACGGTCGACAGATCAAGTGTAGTGCCCCAACTTTCCAACAGACGAAGGGACAGGAGAATGTGACATTGCAACATTGCAGTGTATAGATGTTAACACTGAATACTGTGGCTGTGAATAGCGATAGAAAGATATACAGTCATGAAGTCTGCTTAAAAAAATCCTTTATTTATTATAATAATAATAGGCGTTATTTCTTGACATCAGTAGTAAGTGTACATGTGATACTATTTTTGTTTAGGTTGCTATATAGGCTAAAGTAGACAATTGACCGTCGTCCAATAGAATGTCGAGTCTAAGTTCAATGGATCTAAAAGTAGGTCTAGTCTTTCTACGTTTGTTTTACACTTCTGGAGATTTTGCTGAGCTAAGAGCTATTAATAGATTCAATATTTGGTTAACAAAAATCAGGTCACGAGATGTATGTAGACTAATTATAGACATACTTTTAAATAAAATGCAGCATCAGTTTCACTGTTATAGATAGTAACAACTGATAAAGCTGGATAAATTATATCCAGGAAATAAAATATCTACTCTAGATCTCTAACGGATCTAACAGTCTGGTAACATTCAACGCGGAAAATTTGTTGGTTTCTGTCCTAGCTTGTTTCTCATTTCTTTGAAACACACCAAAGCGTTTGGACTAACGAAATCCAGGGTCGGATTTACGACAGTACACGAATGCGGCTTCCCAGGGTCTCTTCTGAACAATATCCATAGACGCTTAATCTCCAAGCTTAGGTTCCCATATTTTCTTTGTTTTTCTATCTCAGTTTTTCTTAAATTATGAGACAGTGGTACGGCGATGTCGGTAATGGTAGCGGTTTTTTCTTTTTGTCGATGAACAGCAGATTCGGGCGATTGAAATCTACCGTTTTGTCGGTCAGAATAGGCCTATCCCAGTACAGCAGATGTTCAGTAGACTCGAGAACCTCTTGTGGAGAGTATTTATAATAAGGAGGAGTATCCTTTTCGATCAAATTGTGCGTCAAAGCCAAGTGTTGGTGTATTAACTTTGCAACTTGGTTATGGCGACCTAGGTAGGCTGATTCTGATAGGGCTGGACATCCTGCCATAATGTGTTCAATCGACACGCCCACATTTCCATATTTTCGGCATTTGTCAACAACATGGAGTTTCAGGAAATGCTTCTTGTAATTTTTTGTCCTGATTACTCTGTCCTGTATTGCTGTAACAATGCCTTCTGTTTCAGGGTAGAGATGACCTGCTTTGAGCCATGTTAAGGAAGCAGCCTTGTCGATGTGGTCCCCATGTAATAAAGCCGGGAATTTTCCGTGGAGTGTTTTTTCTTGCCATTGGCGAATCTCATGCCCTACGTCGTCCAAACCGACATTGACATCAGCATTGTGTAGGTTCAGAGGGGTTGCTTCGGAGCTATTATTATTATTATTATTAAGTGAAAAATAATCGCTTTAAATGTTGTATAAAGGAGATATTGTTTTTTCTTTAAAGTATTTTATATACATTTTTTGTTTCTTTTATTTCAACACAGTTCAATTTCCACCTCTTAAATAAGATTCTGATGGATTGTTATTCAACCTTGACTTCAGAACTGGATCCTCAGTTCGTTATTTTAGCGTCACCTCTTTTCACCACAAGAAACCTTCTCTTGTCGTGGTCACCTCTTTAAACCACTAGAAACCTTCTCTTGTCGTGGTCACCTCTCTAAACCACTAGAAACCTTCTCTTGTCGTGGTCACCTGTCTTTACCACTAGAAACCTTCTCTTGTAATCAACTATCTTCACCACAAGAAACCTCGTGTCGTGGTCACTTTTCAAAAATTCCTTGTTTTGTGCCCCTGGCGTAGAAACATTGCAATGATTCCATAGCTTACAGGGACTCCCATATCGCGTGACATTGTTAGCAAATGATATTCTTGTCTCCTTTCTTTCATTTCAAAAACTAAGTCCACATTATCGTCATGTAAGACTATCTTATTCTGTGATCCGACAGATTCGGGTGTCCCTTAACCAGATATTAAATCTAAGTTTTGATGAAAGGATATTGATCCAAAGAGATTGAAATCATATTGATATTTCAATCATAAAAATATTGCTGAGTTCTGAAAATATGTAATGTGTGGCTAAGTGGAACAAGACGCTTGTTTGCCTATTAAGAGAGCTTGAATTCAAATTACGAGCTGAATTATCTTTTTTTTTTTTTTGCCAAGGGATTAGGCTATAGTGTAGTGAGCAGACGACGGCATGTATGCAAAAGTAATTTCCAACAAAATTCTTTTATTGTTTTACTATTATTAAATTGTTTTAAGCTTGATAGTAAAAATGTAGTGAATGTATTGAAAGTCAAAGATCAAACAGTATTGCAGTCACATTTACTTATATACTTAGAGCCAGCTTTAACCTACATATTTCGCTACATCTTACGAAAATAAAGCTGTTGTCTGCTGGATGTCTTTTTGCATTTTTACCAACGATATTTATTTAATTAATGAGCTTTAAACCACTAATATATACTGTAGAAGCAGACATTAACATTGAAGTCTTTTTTCTAAAGTAAAAAAAAGGCCAGAAATTTAGAAAATTCTGGTAACACTTACCACGCACAAGCAGTCACGATTACTACCGTGAACAACTTTTGCTCTAATTTTATGTAAACTTATTAAAATTGCATTCAGTTTATATGTCAAGTAGGCCGATACCAAATAATTTCATGTCAACAAACACATACTTTTGTTGATACCAACATTTTAATCTATATGAAAGAATAAATCAATCAAAACGTTGGTAGCTTTTAAATATACTTTTAATCTTCTTCATATCCTGTATTACAAAAGATAAATGTATGTACGTCATATATAGACTCACATAGAGGCGTAGACTTCAACTAGATTGAGGCCCATGTCATATTTAATTCTTGGAAATACATAGACATGTTTACGGTCAGGTAATTTCCTGACGTGACCTAGTTTTGCATGTGCAAGCTTGCAGATTATAGATTTAGTGAAACTGTTCTAGATATCTTAGGGCCCAGGGTGGGAGAACCGAGAATCAGATAAAGGAAAGTTCACCCGTCTTTGTCAACGACAGTTTACCTTGGAGTCATGGAGCTATCACAACGATCAACTTTTTAAACTCTTTTTTTAACCAACGGCAAGGGCTTATTTTATCATTTAACTATTTTTCTATTCTGCTGCATTTTGCGTCTCGAGGTATCATCTTTTCCATTTTGGAACCTCTCATGTGACTTCAGAGGCAGATCCTAAATTCACATCGGCTGGTTCTTCTTCTTCTTCTAGCCACCCTTTTGCTGCTGAGCTATCAGCTCTTTTACAGACTGTGCCAAGTAAAAATAGTGTGCTGGTAACAGCATAGATTTTCTGGCAACATGCTCTTCTCGTGACTTCTTTGTTGATTCTTTTATCTGGCCACCTCATGTTAAGAGTCCGTCTTGAGCGTCGGAGATGGAAGTTACTCGGCTTTCTTTACTGCAAGTGTAGGTGAAATCATCTTTCACTACGGTACAGCAGAGTGCTCAATACACAGGTCTATTTGGCATATATTAATTTGCCATATTGTGAATTCGTGGTGGAACTCACCTAATTATCCTTCAACAGCGTTTTACTAATCATTGAACTGCCATGTATCTATAGATTTTTAGGGCATTCATACTGTTTAAAAATTAAATGGCTACATGATATCTT